AACATCCTACTCCATTGAGGGGCTGAATAAATACAATACCGAAAACGAGCCCAAAAAAAAACCTGATCAGAGGGTTGCTTTCACTACCATAACAGACAAGGAAAACGGCTCAAGTGGAGGTATATACTTTTTAGATGCGCCCGGAGGAACTGGCAAAACTTTTGTTACCAAATTAGTCTTGGCAGAGGTATAAATTGGGAGATCGCTATTGCGGTCGCATCTTCCGGGATTTCTGCAACATGGCTACCGGGAGGTAGAACCGCTCATTCGGCTTTTAGGTTGTCACTTGATCTATGCCGGTCACAAATCCTCTCTGCACACATAACAAAGAATTCGCCACAGGCTGAAGTTCTTATAGTTTGGGATGAGTTTTTTTTCATCTTGAGATACTTGACCAAAAATTCCAAGACATCCGCGACTCCTCTGACCCCATGGGTGGAGTAATTTTTCTCCTCTCAGGCGACTTTAGACAGACTCTACCTGTTATTACTAAAGGTACACGCGCTGACGCTGTCCGCGCCTGCCTGTTTTCGTCTGCCCTTTTGGCGCCACGTGGAGACTCTTAAACTGAGCACGAACATGCGTGCTTACTTGAATGGGGACTCCAGATCCGCTGACTTCGCATGGGACCTTCTTGATTTTGGAAATGCCATCTGACACACAGGGTATTGTGCAGATGGATCAGTTTGCCACCACTGTTGAATCACCGGATGAATTGATGAATGCAGTCTTCACAACATATCCACTAATTTTGCCGATGCCGATTGGCTTTATTTAGGCCATATTGGCACCGAAGAACTGTACAGTTGATTCCATCAACCTTAAACTGTTGGATTGCATTCCCGGGCAATGTCATGTTTATAAGTCCATCGACAGAACTTCAATCCATCTGAATTAGCTGAGTATCCATAGAAGTTTTAACTTCCTTCCGCCGTCGGACTCCCACCTCATATTCTTCGTCTCAAAGTTGGTGCTCCGATTATGCTAACCAGGAATTTGCTCCCACCTAAACAGTGCAACGGGACTCGCCTCATTATTAAATTTTCAGAACCTGATTGAGGCGATCATTGCAACTGGCTGCGGCAAGGGGGAAGTCGTTCTGATTCCCAGGATGCATCTTCTGCCGTCAGACGCAAGCATACCAATCAACTTTCGTCGCTCACAATTTCCCATGAAGCTTTATTTGCTTTGCCCATTAACAAATCACAAGGACAGACGCTTAGCATATTGTTAGGTCTGCATTTACGTGAGCAGTTAAATCTCTATCACGGCCAACTTTATATTGGGTGCTCACGAGTTGGTCTAAGGACAGGGTTTTCATTTACTCTCCCAACAACTGTGCTAGAAACATAACCTACACGGAGGTCCTGTAGACAACCCGCCCAAAAATATATTTAAGCGCCATGCAAGAAGCAGTCCGAAAATTTGGAAATTTTTTGTTTATCATATTGGTTTTAACGTTAGGTCGTCGTAGTTCCACTTGCCATTACTAAGACATCTTTAATTTAAAGGTTTATCTAGCTCTTTTGCTGCCTTTAAACTTTCATACCATCACCCGCCATCATCGCGTTTGTTTTCCTTTTAATCCCTAATGTATGTTGCAACTGAATCGTGGTTTCATGACTACTAACCACAAGTGCTTCCAGTAATTTAACGATCCATTTTGGTTAAAATATAACTTTTGCCAGCTTTACTCACAGATCTCTTAGTAATGGCAAATGACTTTGACGCTAACAAAAACGGCTTTCCGTTACTTCCATCGATACCTTCGAATATTTGGGCCTGAAATGATGTCTGCTTTAAACTTTATGTGCATAGCGTTTCAACGTTTTGTAGAAACTTAGTTCCTGTCGACTTAAAAAGCACATCTTTCAAAGCAACAGTATATTAACTTACTGTTACATCTGTATTATTTCGCCGGGCAATATATATATATATATATATATATATATATATATATATGGATAAAATGTAAAAGAACAACTAGGTATAGATAATAAAAAAGTCATCAAGACATAATTAAAAATCGATAATGTAAAGATCTTTCCAGTTGCCTTAAAACCTTACAAATGAAACCAGGGTTTATGTTATTTTTAAAACTTTTTTGGCTTTTAGCCTTTTTCTTATATATATATATATATATATAATATATATATATATATATATATATATATATATATATATATATATATATATTGAACAATAAAAAAATTAAAAATTAAAATCTTCAGACACACTGGGTTTGTAGATTAATATTCTTTCGTTTTTTTTTTTATTATTTCATTTAGATTCCTCGACTAGTTTCGGCCAAAATGGCCATCATCAGGAGAAGAAATATTTCTGCTTGCTGGTAGCAGTGAACTACAGAAATGAATGTCTTGATGGAGAAAATGACTTTTTTGTCTGTAGTTTTCATTTTTTTTTTTTTTTTTTTATCTTTTTTAACATGAATCTTTTAACATTCCTTGTGTTGGTCAAACAGTCTCTTTTAAGTTGTTATTTGAGATAAGAGCTGGATGGATCCATGCTGCTCTGAATTCCCTGGTCAGTTTGACAGTTTTATTGGTCCTGGAGGGGATGTGTCTCTGTTAATGTGTTTGTGTGTGTGTTATTTGGTTCTTAGGGAGTGAGTGAGTATGATATGTGTAAGCGTGTGTATTGCTGTGGGTGTGTGTTATCATTTGGCTCATTAGGGAGTGAGTGAGTATGATGTGTGTAAATGTGTATATTCGTGTGGGTGTGTGTACAAGTGTGAGGCCTCAACACCTCCGTAAGCGTGTCTGTCTTGTGTGAGTGAGAAATGTGGGTAGGTTTTGATTTGTAGAGTTATATAGTAGTACTATCTATATTGTTAAATTTATGGTTTAGCCCGACTGGATATTGTGTTTTTTAGACGTTGTATCCACTTATTTTAATGGAACTCTAAAATCTTTCTAATGTTATCTGCTCTGAACTTTTCTATTCTCTCAATTATAGTGAATTTGGCATGGGTTTTGAAATCGTTTTTTCCCGGCGGAAATGTTGTTCTACAGGTTATAATTTTTTCTTTAAATATATATATATATATATATATATATATATATATATATATATATATATATAAGGAAGAGGTTATAGTAGTTTCAAAAAAAAAAAAGTGTGTATTATATTAAAAGAAAGAGATACTGCAAACGATTTAATTTATAATGTGGATTTTTAAAAAAATATTATGCTTTATTTTCCATAATTTTACTACACTTGTTTCTGGTCTCGACCGTCATCAGGTAAAGGGTGGAGATTTCCATATATTATTAAAAGTAATTATTTTTCTCTCCTTTATGTTAAATATTCTCGATATGAGACATTCTCTTGTTTTGTGTGTTAGTAATACTAACGTCTTTCTTGATATATATATATATATATATATATATATATATATATATATATATATATATATATATATTCAGTTGTTTAGATATGTGTTTGAATACACACACACACACACATATGTATCTTGAATTAAAAGCGTACTTGTAGATGGTTTACTAATTTTAACAGTTTTACATCTTACATATTTATTAGGCTACCATTTGTCCTTCATTCTGCTATATATTTACAGATTCTTGATAAAATCCAAAGAAGAATCTCTAGTATTACTGGTCTTGACCTGGCATCTTGGCCTCACTTGAAAATGAAATCGTACGTGAAATCTGTGAAGAAATTTCTTTACTCCAGGACAGAAATTTAGAAGGTTAGAAAAGGGCAAACATCATCATCAAATTATCCTGGAATATATATATATATATATATATATATATATATATATATATATATATATATTTGAACTTTATTTCAATACTTCATGAGCATCTATCCTTGGCTATAAGTAATTAATGATAAACATGCCATTTTCATTTCTGATCGATTTTATCACGATCATTCTGATAAGCTTGGGGAGTAATTATAAACTCTTACTGCTCAAAGTAGAGTCCAATAGTTTTAGAAAAACCACGGAGAATTCCAGTAATATATCATTAATCACTTCTAAGATACAACGATTCAAAGCTTAATCTAACAATTGGACAATTTTGCTGTTACACCATTTGGACAATTTTGCTGTTACACCTGGTATATTGTTCATTGTTATTCTCAAGAAATTCTTGATGCAATATGTACAAGTAAAAAGAAAAAGGTAAGTATTATTTTTTAGAAATGTATTTCGATTTTAAATAATCTACAAATGTTGATAAGCCGTACTAAAAGGAAAAGAAATAAAACAAAAACAAAAAAACGAACAAAAAATGACAATCCAAATCCAGAAATTACTGAAGGCAAAAAGGGATAGACAGAAAAAGGGAATAACTAACCGCGAATTCTTTTTGTCAATGGTTGGCAATTTAGGAGTGTTTAGGTTCGGCTAAAAAAAAAAAAAAAAAAAGGCAGATTACTAAAGGCTAATGAGAATGGGTAGTTGTAGAGAGCCATGGTCCGTGACGTCATGAATGGACACGGCATATAAGATAATGGTTGTTAATGATGATAGCCAATCGTAAACTTGGAAACTTCATAAACAATCACACAGACTGCGGACAGTTTCTTTAAACTTTCAACACAAATATACGGAAATTAATCCGCCGACAAGAAAAAAAAAGAATTTAAGATTATAATATTATCTATAACAAAACTGGCTTGAATGAGCTTTTTGTTGCCTCGATGCACCAATGTATACAATTATATATCTGTACGTATATATATATATATTTATATATATATATATATATATATATATATATATATATATATATATGCGCGCAGAAAGAAAAAATCGACAAGGATAAGCAATTTTTTTTCAATATGTTCGTCCTCCCATCTTTCGCTCACTCCATTAAGCTTTTGTTCTCTCTCATCTTTTTATCTATAAAACTCGCACCTACCTACATACACACATACACACACACACAAACACTTTCTCACTCTTCGACTAACACGTTTTTGGCACTTTCCTCTACCTCCCCTGAACAATGAAATATGTCTTCTTTCATCCTCACCTCAGCCGAATTGCCATTTCTCACTCCCCACCTTACACACTGCCCAGCCTCCCCCATATCCAGGAGTCCTCTTGTGCTCGTTCTTTGGCCGCTCGACGGTTTACAGACCAATGATTGATTGTGTTTTGCAAGGCGGGCCACCATCCTGTGTCCGCCATGATCCATTGCCTTTTCTACCAAATGTTGTCCAGATGAAACACCCGAGATAAAACAGCCGCGGCTTGGCACCAAAAAGACGCTGCCCTTCATTCATTCATTTGTTTTCCAAGGTTTGCTCTCCTTCCTCTGGAATATCACTCATCGCCCCTTCCTCTCCCCTTTATTTGCCATACTCTTCAGCTCAGTCGACACCCGTTCCAACGATTTCTTTTTCGAAAAGACAAATTTAGTTATTATCTCAATATTCCTTGTATATCCCCTCCCACTTCTCGTCCTTCTGTTTTTTGTATTTCTTCATTTTCATGGTCTCCACTTCTTTCCCCTCTTTTCCTTCTACTTCTTTATACTGCACGTTCCTTTCTGTTTTGTCGTCTTCTTCTTCTTCTTCTTCTTCCACTTTTTTCTTTATCTTTCTCGTCATTATTTTCAATTCCTTCTTCTTTAACTTCCCAATTGCATTTCTCCTCCTTCTTCTTCTTCTTCATCACTTCCTCCTCCTCTTCTCTCCCAGGTCCCCCTTTCCCATTTCTTTTTTATTTTAAATCCCCTCTTTTTTATCTTGCACGTTCCAGTCTTTTTCTTCTTCTTCTTCTTCTTCTTCTTCTTCTTCTTCTTCTTCTTCTTCTTCTTTAAACAAATCCTCTTCTATATCTTCTTCTTCTTCCACTTTTTTCTTTATCTTTCTCGCCTTTATTTTCAATTCCCTCTTCTTAACTTCCCCATTGCATTTTACTTCTTCTTCTCCGCTTCCTCCTCCTCTTCTCTCCCAGTTCCCCCTTTTCTTTTTCTAATTTAACCCCCCTCTTTTTATCTTCCACGTTGCAGTCTTCTTCTTCTTCTTCTTCTTCTTCTTCTTCTTCTTCTTCCCTTTATTTCTTTTATTATCTTTTAATATCCTCTTCTTTATCTTCACCAATCGTTTCTCGTTCCCCTTCTCTTCCACTCTCTATTTTCTTCATTTTTCTTCCTTTTCCTTTCCGCTTTCTCTCGTCCTTCGTTTTCGATAACCTCTTCGTATTTTCTAATCAATCATGTTTTCCTTCTCCACCTTCCTTTTTTCCTCTTCCTTTTTTTCCTTCCACATTGTTTTGTTCATTTCTTTTTTTCATCTTCATTTCTTTTTTTTTCCTTTCAATGTTTCTTCTCTCTATCGCTCTCCTCTCTCTCACACGTTTTTTCCCCTCTTTTAATCGTCTTACCTTCTTCACAACTTCATCCGGCTACAACAAGGACGAGAATGTAGTCGGCCCGACCCACTTCTCAAAATTCGAGCATTATTTTCTCATCTCCATTGAAAAGAGCATTCTTTTATTTTGCAAAATGCCAATTTGCAGGTTCATGGCGCTGATTTTAAAATTTGTTCCAAATCATTGACTTTACCATATGAACGGAAAAAAGAGGAATTTTCAATACTGTACTCTAGGCTGCCAAGAAGTTACGATTCCTGCAGAAGAAAACCCCAAAGAAAATGCATAATTGTTTGATGAAAATACCGAACTTTTACAAGACCCTCTTCTCAGTTTTCCTTTCCTTCTGCAATATGCATCTGATCTGGTGCTGCTGCTATATATTTAGAGATTCTTGATAAAATAAAAATAAGAATCTGCAAGACTATTGACCCTGATCTGGCATTTCGGCTTCTGTCATTTTCCCACCGCCGTAACCAAGCTTTCCTGTGTTTTTTCCATAGATACATTTATGGTAATTGTTCTGATGAGCTTTCCGCTATGGTACCTAGACTTTATGAATTTAAGCGCAGTACTAGATGGCAGCAAGGTCTCATCATAATTACAGTTGAAACAGCTAGATTTAACGGTAAGTTATCTGCTAACAGTGCCTTCTATCGCACTTCTTGCTTGTGGAACTCTCTTTCAGCTTCTTGTTTCCAAGTCAAATTTGATCTTCAAGTATTAAAATGCAAATTCAGTCGATATATTCTGTCTTCTTTTTTTTTTTACTGTTCTCGCTCCTTAATAGTGACTTTTTCTTATATTCTCTAACACTCACTTAACTTTTTGCTTCTCAGAGGCTTTACTGCCTTGATTGAGTGTGACCTAGAGAGAGAGACCCCCCACCCCGAGGTGGATTTAGTAATCAATAGTGCTAAAGAATTAGGATGACGGTGCTAATTACTTGTGTAGAAGGGTTTCCGGAGTAATTCCAGAAATAAGTTTATTTTTTTTTTCTCTTGCTTTTTTTTTTCTCTTAATAATTGTTTCTGGGGTTGAGTTATTAGTTAATTAAATGTAATAATTCCAAAGTGATTAAGAGACGGATTCGTTAAAGTAAAGGTTGTGATAAATGGCGAATTAGACTTTTGGGTGGTCTGAATGGCGGAATTCAACCAGACGGGATAAGTGGTTTTGGTAAAACTTAAGTAGGCGTTGGCTGCGGAAGACCCAGCAGGAGGTCCGAATCCGATTTTAGTATCTCTTGAAAACTGGGTTCCCGCTGATTTTCGGGGACCGGAAAAGCTTGCATGGTGGTCAAAGGCGATTTGCATATTAAAATTCGGGGCGGTGCCTAAAGATGGTTTAGCTCCGCCTCTCTCTATATAAGCTGCCTGCACGCTTGAGTTAGTCAGATCGGAGATCGGAACGTGGAAGAACGCGGAAGAGACAGCTTGTTGGATTTTGCTGATCTGGTCTGTTGGTTGTCCTGCGTCAAGAAGACCGATCCGAACCAAGAGATAGAAATAGAACCCGTACGAATCCAGATATCTTCGTCAACAAAGCTGTGAGAAAGCAGACTGCTATATCGTAGAGTGCAAATGAAGATCCACGAATTATGTCCCTTAGATCGGCTGAATTCCTATCAGCATAATAATCGTCTTTCTCTCTCTGTCACTTCCGACCCCAAACGAGTGAACCTCGTTACATTTTGTACTCGTGTAAATTCTTCGGTAGTGACATAAAAACAGTGGCCTAAAAAGGGCTCTTTGTACAGGAACCGAAAGAGTTGCCTATTTTTTCTTTTTCATGTCTTTGCGGCTACGACAAGAAACTTTTTTTGCATGAATAGTGAGTTCCTTTCAGCGTAATACCCAGCCATTTAATTCATCCTACCTCCGGATCGTTCTGAGAGATCGAAATACTGCTGTTCGGATCAAAAATTTACAACGTGGCGGATAGTGGTGGTTCCTTCAGTTCACCGGGGGAAGATCGGGTGGTTTACTTTTTGGCCAGAACCACCGGAGAGACAGGACAGAGCTCTAGCCGGCAGGGTTACGTTAGATGGATGAAATGATTTTTTAAAACAACGATCTTTCTAAGAACATACAGATCTCGAGCGAATAACTATGGAGATTATACAACAGTTTATAGGTGCACCTTCGAAAATCAGGAAGACCAGAACCTGACAGCTTATCTCCCTTATGACCTATCCCAGGAGGCTTAATGGGGGACGGACTAGCTTATAAAAATCAATACGGCCAAAACCAAACTAACCTTCCACCACCATCGAGCAGACCCCGAACTTTATACCGATAGTGATGGATGGGTGTTCTCTCAAAGAAATTCTTGTCTTGAACGCCTATCGGGACTCAAGATCACCCCATACGTCAAATAGAACACATATATACGAAGAGTGTCTGAAGAAACTGTCGAAATGGTTACATCTTTGTATCGTTACAGCACGGATTTGAGTCTTCCTTCTGAGTACTATCTTTAGAAGAGTCAAGAATGGATTATTGCTGCCGTATCTGGGCTGGGGGTAACCAATCCATACTCTTCAGGCTCGGCTGATTTCAAAAGTTCACCTCAGACCTCAAATGGAATGCATATATATTCGTGTCATCTCCAAAGATCCTGGACGAAATTTTGGTGCATTGTACCACCCCAGATAATAACTAACTCCCACTGCTATTAATCTATCTTTCCAAGAGACAGATCCGACCAAGAATGGATTATTGCTGCCATATCTGGGATGGGGCTGCCAAATCCACACTGTCCAAACTCGGCAGATTAAAAAAAAATCCTTAGACGACGAATAAAATGCATATATTCGCGACATCGCCAAAAATGCTGAAACAATGGTCAGGTCATTGTATCGCTCCAGAAAATACCTAACTCCCGCTGCCATTGCCCTACCTTTCCAAGAGTCAGACCAGACCCAAGATGGAGTATTTCTGCCATATCTGTACCGGGGCTGCCCAATACTAACTGCCCAGCCTCGGAAGATATTAAATGTTCACAGCAGACCTCAAATGAAATGCATATATCCATGCCATCGCCAAAGATGACGTTAAAAACGGTCGGTTCATAAAATCGTTCCAAAAAATACCTAACTCTCGCTGCCATTGCTCTATCTTAAAAAATGTTAGATCAGACCAAGAATGGAGTATTTCTGCCATATCTGTACTGGGGCAGCCCAATCCTCACTTTTCAGGCTAATTTCAAAAGTTCACCTCAGACCACAAATAGAATGCATATATTCATGCCATCACCAAAGATGCTGGAAGAATGATCGGTTAGTGCATTTCTCCAGAAAATACCTAACACCTGCTGCCATTCCTCTATCTTTCCAAGAGTCATATCAAACCAAGAATGGAGCATTTCTGCCATATCTGTACTGGGGCTTCCCAGTTCTAACTGCCCAGCCTCGGCAGATATCAAATGTTCACATAAGACCTCAAATGGAATGCATATGTACGTACCATCGCCGACGATGCTGGAAGAATGATCGGATCATTGTATCTCTCCAGAAAATAACAAACACCTGTTGCCATTGAACTATCATTCCTAGAGTCAGATAAGCCCATGAATGGAGCATTGCTGCCTTACCTTGTCTGGAGCAACCCAACCTTCACTGTCTAGACTCGTTTCAAAAGTTCACGTCAGAGCATAGATGTAATGCATATATTGGTGCCGTCAGCAAAGATGACTGTAAAAACGGTTGGTTCATTGAATCGCTCCAGAAATTACCTAACTCTTGTTGCCATTGATCTATCTTTCCTAGAGTCAGATAAGACCATGAATGGAGCATTGCTGCCTTACCTTGTCTGGAGCAACCCAACCTTCACTGTCTAGACTCGTTTCAAAAGTTCACGTCAGAGCATAGATGTAATGCATATATTGGTGCCGTCAGCAAAGATGACTGTAAAAACGGTCGGTTCATTGAATCGCTCCAGAAATTACCTAACTCTTGTTGCCATTGATCTATCTTTCCCTAGAGTCAGATAAGACCATGAATGGACATTGCTGCCTTACCTTGTCTGGAGCAACCCAACCTTCACTGTCTAGACTCGTTTCAAAAGTTCACGTCAGAGCATAGATGTAATGCATATATTGGTGCCGTCAGCAAAGATGACTGTAAAACGGTCGGTTCATTGAATCGCTCCAGAAATTACCTAACTCTTGTTGCCATTGATCTATCTTTCCTAGAGTCAGATAAGACCATGAATGGAGCATTGCTGCCTTACCTTGTCTGGAGCAACCCAACCTTCACTGTCTAGACTCGTTTCAAAAGTTCACGTCAGAGCATAGATGTAATGCATATATTGGTGCCGTCAGCAAAGATGACTGTAAAAACGGTCGGTTCATTGAATCGCTCCAGAAATTACCTAACTCTTGTTGCCATTGATCTATCTTTCCTAGAGTCAGATAAGACCATGAATGGAGCATTGCTGCCTTACCTTGTCTGGAGCAACCCAACCTTCACTGTCTAGACTCGTTTCAAAAGTTCACGTCAGAGCATAGATGTAATGCATATATTGGTGCCGTCAGCAAAGATGACTGTAAAAAACGGTCGGTTCATTGAATCGCTCCAGAAATTACCTAACTCTTGTTGCCATTGATCTATCTTTCCTAGAGTCAGATAAGACCGTGAATGGAGCATTGCTGCCTTACCTTGTCTGGAGCAACCCAACCTTCACTGTCTAGACTCGTTTCAAAAAGTTCGTCAGAGCATAGATGTAATGCATATATTGGTGCCGTCAGCAAAGATGACTGTAAAACGGTCGGTTCATTGAATCGCTCCAGAAATTACCTAACTCTTGTTGCCATTGATCTATCTTTCCTAGAGTCAGATAAGACCATGAATGGAGCATTGCTGCCTTACCTTGTCTGGAGCAACCCAACCTTCACTG